TCTAGGGAGAGCTTGTCTCTCGTAGGTTCTGGGGCTGGGCCGTGTCAGTGAACCTTTCATCTTCTAGATTCCTTATCCAATATCTACATGTCAGATTGTTTGTTTGGCCTTCTTTATATTTTTTCTTTTTTTAGACTTTTATTTTGGGGGTTGAGTTTCCTTATATACAACCGTTTCTCTCCCTCAGCCTAGGGGAGATGTCCCTGGGCTGTCAAGCTTCTGGTTGGCTTAACTGTTTGAACTTCCTCTACTCAGACTTACCAGGGGTTATTGATTTTATATGATTTTTCTCTTTTTGAGTGATAGTAATAGATTAATTATATTCATATGTTCATATATATGAAGAATGAGACACGAAGCCACCAGAGGTTCTGTGAGAATTAGTGACTCAATCTAACACGTGTTTCCACAGTGTGGCCGTGGCTGTGTGTTGAGCATTGACTGAAGTCTTCGGGATTTTAGCAGGGAGATGATTTAAGTGGCTTTGACAGTGACCCACGTGAGATGCTGACATATCACAAGTGGAGTTGATGAGAAGTGGTCAGATTCTAGATACATCTGCAAGGTTGAGTTGATAGGATGAGTTGATGGATCGGATGTGAGGTACGAGAAAATAATGAAGAGAATGATGATGAAAATGCTTTTGACCTGAGCAGGAGTGGAATTAGCCACTAAACCAGTAAGGCTGTGGAAGGAGTGGGTTTAGGAGAGAAGATTGGTAGTGTAATTGTTTTATTGTGATAAAATACATACAACATAGCATTTGCCATTTTAACAATTTTTTAAGTGTACGGTTCAGTGTCAGTGTTCACTGTCATGCAGTCATCGCCACTATCTCTTTCCAAAACATTTTCTTCACTCCAGAATAAAACTTGGAACTCCTTAAGCAACAACTCCCCATTTCCCACCCTACCCCTGGCCCCTGGGAGTCTGTTCTATTTTCTGCCTCTGGGAATTTACCTATTCTAGATATTTTATATAAGTAGAATCATGCAATATTTGTCTTGTATGTCAGGCTTTTTTCACTTAGCACGCTGTTTTCAGAGTCATCCATGTTGTCATATAGTATTAGAGCCTCATTACTTTTTATGGCTGAATAATAATATTGTATTGCATGTAAACGGCAGATTAATCATATCCATTCATCTATTGTTGGGCACGTAGGCAGTTTCCACCCTTTGGCTCTTGTTAATAATGCTGTGACGACAATTCTCACACAAGTATCTGAGTCCCTGTTTTCAATCCTTTTTGGTAAATACCTTGGAGTAAGTGTTTTGACTGTATGGTAATTCTGGGTTTAACTTTTTGAGGAACCACCAAACTGTTTTCCACAATAGCAGCATCATACTTAAAAATCAACACTTGTCATTTTTCACATTTTTGATTGTAGCCAACCTACCAGGCATGAAGGGGTATCTCATTGAGGTTTTGTTTTGGATTTCCCTATTTAGTGATGTTGAACATCTTTTCATGTGCTCATTGTCTGTTTGCTTTTCTTCTTTGGAAGAAATGTCTATTCAAGTTATTTGCCCATTTTTAAAGAAGATTTATTTACTTATTTTAGAGAGAAAGCGAGAGAGCAAGAGGGGGTTAGAGAGGGAGAGGGAGAGGGAGAAAATCCCAAGCAGACTCTACGCTGAGTGCAGAGCCTGATATGGGGCTCGATCCCAGGACCCTGAGATCACGACCGGAGTCAAAATCAAGAGTCGAATGCTTAACGGACTGAGTCACCCAAGCACCCCTGCCCATTTTTAAAATGAGTTGTTTGTCTTTTTGTTGTTGTTGAGTTTGTAGGAGTTCTTTATGTATTCTGGATATTAAACCCTTCTCACATATATGATTGGCAGATATTTTCTTCTATTCTGTGGATTATCCTTTTCATTCTCTTGATAATATTTTTTGATGCATCGAAGTTTTTAATTTTGATGCACCCCAATTTATTTATTTATTTTTCTTTTTGCCTGTGCTTTTGGTGCCCTATTTAAGGAACTATTGCCAAATCCAGGGTCATGAAGATTTTCCCTTATGTTTTCTTCTGAGAGTTGTATAGCTTTAGCTCTTAAATTGAGGTCTTCGATCCACTTTGAGTAAATTTTTGTATGTGGTGTAAAGTAGAGGTCCAACATTGTTTTTGTCTGTGGCTATCTTGTTCTCCCAGCACCATTTGTTGAAGAGACTATTCTTTACACACGAGTGGTCTGGGCACCCACCCTGGTCAAAAATCAGTTGACCTTAGATGTGAAAATTTATTTCTGGGCTTTCGGCTCTGTATTTATATCTGTTCTTATGTTATCTCTGTTCATACCTGTTCTTATGCCAATACCATACAGTAGTTTTGTAGTAAGTTTTGTAATTGGGAAGTGTCAGACCAGCTTTGTGTTTCCTTTTCCAGATTATTTTGGCTATTTTGAGTTTTGTTGGAATTCCAGATGAATTTTGGGATGTGTTTTTCCATTTCTACAAAACTCACCATTGGGATTTTGATAGAGATTGTATTAAAGGTGCTTTAGACAGTCTTGTCATCTTATAATATTAAGTTTTCCAGTGTGTGAACACAGGCTGTCTTTCCATATATTTAGGTCCTTTCAAATTTCTTTCACCAATTTTTTTTTTTTTAATTTTCAGTGTATGGTGTTTTGTGTCTCTTTTATTAACTTTATTCCCAAGTATTTTATTCTTTTGGACACTAATATAAATGAAATTATTTCTTAATTTCCTTTTCTGATCATTATTCATGTATAGAAATACAACTGATTTTTGTACACTGATTTTTGTATCCTGTGACTTTGCTGGATTCATTTATGAGTTCTAACAGTTCTTCTGGGTTCTCTAGAGTTTTCTGTATATAAGATCATCTCATTTATGAGTAGAGACAGCTTTACTTCTTTTCCAATTTGGGTGTCTTTTATTTTATTTTTCTTGCCTCATTGCCTGACTGGAATAGTATCTCAGTTTTGGACATGTTGAATTCAAGACCCTTATTAGACCTCCAGATGGCCCTCCTTGATGTAGTCAGTAGTCTGGGTATCAGGAAATAGGTCTGGGTATCAGGAAATAGGTCTGTGCTATTGATATGAAATTGGGGATTGTGAGCATGTGAGCTGATTTGTAAAGCCATGAGGCTGTGTGAAAGATCACCTGGAGAGGGGGTGCAGGTAAAGAAGGGCAAAGCCATGGAGAGGTAGCCCAGCATTGGAGAAGTCAGGAGATTTCCTTTTCCCTTCCCCTTCCTTCCATGGGTTACTTTCCCCAGATTACACTCCACTGGCATCTTTTGTAGATGTCGTGGAAGGAGCACCTCTTGGACTTTATTTGGGGCTGGTCACTTCACTGCATAGCTTTCATTCAAGAATAACATTGAAGATCGTGATTAGGTTCCCCCAGAATCTCCCTGCATAGCTTTCATTCAAGGAAAGCATTGAAGATGGTGATTAGGTTCCCCCAGAATCTCCCTGCATAGCTTTCATTCAAGGATAACATCGAAGATCGTGATAGGTTCCCCCAGAATCTCCCTGCATAGCTTTCATTCAAGGAAAACATTGAAGATGGTGATTAGGTTCCCCCAGAATCTCCCTGCATAGCTTTCATTCAAGGATAACATCGAAGATCGTGATAGGTTCCCCCAGAATCTCCCTGCATAGCTTTCATTCAAGGATAACATCGAAGATCGTGATAGGTTCCCCCGGAATCTCCGTGCATAGCTTTCATTCAAGGATAACATTGAAGATGGTGATTAGGTTCCTCCAGAATCTCCCTTGGTGATTAGAGACTCCTACATAAAGGTCTTGTCTCCAGGGACTGAGCCCACAAAGCTATGCTGCAGTTGTTCGCTTTGTATCCAAAACAGATGAGAGCTAACAATAGACTATTCTGGAGGGACAACTGACAAAGAGGTCCGCGATCATCCTGAGTTAGCACATCTTACACTTCTTTGAGTTCTTCCTTTGAGTATCTTTTTGATTCATATTATCTCTTCATTCTCATTCCTCTACTTTCCCCAAATATACCCGTACAGTACACAGGCCCCTTCTACTCCACCGTGCATGTCCACGTAGGGTCCTTTGAATGCCTTTTGTTCCTTCTCATTTATTCACATGGCCCTTTAAGACACAGTAGGTGTGTGATGGTTAGTTCATGGTTAGGCTACACAGTTGGTTGCATTCAGTGTATCATCTCAGTTACAAAAATGTGTGGATAATGTGAGTCCATTTTATTTTAATTATATATATACACACACTCCCATGGAAAGAACATTTGGCAGAATATATACCAAATTATTAAACAGTAGTCTTTTCTGGCTGGTAGAATTATAAGGGAATTTGTATTTCTAATGATATATTTCCAAAGCATTTAATATATATGTTTTTATGCCATCAACATGTACCTATATAAGTAAAAAAGGTATTTAAAAACTTATTTTAAAAAAAGGAAACTTTATAGTTCCAATTAATAGCAGATGCTAACCCATGAAGAAGCAGTCCCATTATCTGAGCTTCTGTGTGCAAGAGGTTAAAGCATCTGAGGGACCCAGGCACCAGGAGCACGAGTAGTATTGTGTATGTGTGACTGAAGCAGGGCTAGAGTCGCCTAGAAACCTTAGAAAAATGTCTCTTCAGCCTGCAAAAAATGCCTTCTTACCCTCTTCTTCCTCGCAAGTCCCTAAGCAAAATGGCACATTTAGAGGTCCGCTAGCTAACTAGGAGAATAGACTTCTGGAGGGAAGCATTTTTGTCCCCTCCCCCCCGCCCCCCACACTCCTCTACCTCATGTTCTGGAATTATTTTGGATTTGTTTGGGGATAGTATCTGAGTTTGTATCTCTCGGGCTGTTGGTTTTTTTTTTTCCAGGAATTTAAAGTTTTTTTACTTTGATATATGCTTAAATGTTTATTTTTTAAGTGATGTAACTTTTCAAAAAATGTATTAAAGTTAATTTCTGTGGGAAAAAATGTTTTTTATACTTCTGACTGTTTTTTGTTCCTTCTCTTTTGAAATCTCTAGCCAACAAGAACATTAGTCATGACAAGCATGCCATCTGAGTAAGTACTCATTGTTTTGATAACTTTCTACTCAACGTAAAATTTTAGATTTTTCTTTCATATACACTGTGATGCTGCGCTTTTAAGGCAGTTCGTAGCTTTGCACTATGTTGCTTTTACTCTATAAAATTGATGTTGGAATTAGAAGAACATTGGCAATAAAAAAAGGTGGTTAAAAGACTATGAGCAGTTTAGCACTGAAGACTTTTTGAGTTGTTTACATAGCATTAAGAGGTATTGTAGTTCGCTGTTCCTCTTGCTTGCTTCGTATTTACTGTTTCTGTGTGTCCACCACTTACACACCATGGAAGTTCAATAAATGGAGCATCACTAGCTGAATCCCTCAAAGTTCTTAAACGCTTTGCTGGGAAGCTCTCTACAACTCTTAGTAAACCCTCTATCTACACATTTGGGAAAGAGTTAATAGCTTGCTGGCATGCTCTTATCATCTTCCTTAAACATTTAACACAATATATAGCACATCCAACAAAAATACAGCACCATATTCTTTGTAACAGATTTTTGAGTTCCTGTTTAAAGGGGAAAAGCATGTTTTTTTTGTTTTGTTTTGTTTTTAGTATCAATCATACATTGTAAGGTTTTAAGGCATTCGTCAAAACATTGGGACATTTCAGTGAAAAATAGCCTGCAAAAAAGTGCATGCTTATAATACTTTCTTTCGTAGGATCCTTTTCCTACCCATGGCATATGAAATCGAAAGGACTGATACTTCAAACACCCTACATTAGCTAGTGAAAAAGGAGCACGCTCACAATTTTTGTTAATCTCTTACAAAATTTACTGAACATTCTAAATCGTCTAATATGGAAGGGAAAAATGAGGATGGTGGGTGTGATATTTTTTTTAAATCCATATTTGCCCCCAGTCTAAAACACATTAGTAAATAGTTATTTTCTCTATCCAAGTTTTAAAAATCAAACTTTTTATTTAAACCATATTCTCTTTTTATTTTTCTCTCCCCACCCCCAACATATACTTCTTGTCTGAAGTTAAGAACAAGACCTAGACGTTCCGATGCCACATTGATTAGCTGTGTCTCAAAGAGACACCTGTTGTTGATTAACACATCCAACAAATAGCAGGAAGCTGCCAGACTTGGAATAAGGAAAATCACTGATATGTGGAAATGCAGGGTTCTGGGGAGCGTTATGGTTTAGAGTTTTTCACTTCCTTATGCTTTTGTTTTCTTTATGTTTCCCCCAAATTTAATATTTTCCATCACCCCAATAAGCACAGACTCTCTGGTTGAAGTGGTGATAGGGCCCAGGTCTTGCCCCAGTTGTCTTTTTTTGCCCTAGGGATCTCTAAGAATTTAAAGTGTGATACAGTACTGCCCTTTCATTTCAGTTGTAAAGAAACAGGTCTTGAGATTGACATGCCCAAGATGGTAGAGATAAAACTAGGAAGGACTGTGAAGTCCATGGGGCATTTTTAGAGGTGGTCGACACAGGGGCAAGAACAGCCTCTTTCTCTTCGTAATAATTTTTGGAGAGGAGAGAAATTTATCTCTTAACTCATTGTGTATGTCATAGTGTGGCTTAGAAAGCCCTCCATGTCCTTTGTATTTCATGGGGGATTTCCCAAACTTGCTGGGAGGGAGAGGGAAAGGCAATGTGTCAGAGCCAAGGGCTTTTTAGTAAGGTGATTGTAAAGGGAAGAGAGGAAAAATGGTGAGCAATTTGTTGAGGAAATTGGGAAGAATGTATATTTCTTAAAAGGTACTTAAGGCACTAATGGAATGACAGACCAGAAGACAAACGATGGTGGGCTTTGCAGAAATAAGGAGCCTCTGCCAAATTTGCCCTTAGGTTTGATCTGATAATGTAATGAACAGGGCCCTTTTCCCCCTCTTACTAGAATAAACTGTATGTGTGAACTCAAATAAATGTTATATTTCAAATAAAATAAGCAAGTGATAAGCTTGGTCCTGACTGTGTGCAGGTTGGTTCAGATCTGAGAAGTAACGGTGGTGGGAAGAGTCAGGGCCATTTCTGATTGCTTGCTGTGTTCCCACCCATGGGCACCTGGCGAAGCCACTTAAGCCTGGGGCAGCTTCGTCAGCCATTAAAATAGTTGGAGCTGAGAACTGAAGTTTTTTTATTTACCCAAATTTTACGCCATTGATTGTAAAGAAATTAAAATGTGAGCTCCATAGCTGAGATCAACGGAGATTTTTAGCTTTCTAGTTTTGTTTTTTTTTAATTATTCAATGTAATCACCTTGATGTTCATATGCAGGAAACATAGTCATTTTGTTGATTTTTTCTCCTCCTATTTAACAGGAAGCAGAACATCATCATCCAGGTGGTGCATAAATTGAAGGGCTTTTCATTTGCCCGGGAAGTGTGTGACACTACTACTCATGTGCTCGCCGGGAATCCTCTGCGCACCCTGAACGTGCTGCTGGGAATCGCGCGTGGCTGCTGGATTCTCTCTTATGAATGGGTAAGCCACTGTGTAAGCAGATGTTGCAAGTACATATATGAAAACAGAAGGTGTTTCTATAGATGTGGTCATTCTGAGGCGGTGACACTAGATCACTAGATTCGCATTCGTGTGAATTTGCACACGTCCCTGTGAGCAGAGAACCCCGTCCTGTTCTCTCCTTGAACTCGTCTCCCTTTGGCCCAGCACGTCCAGCCACTCACTGCCGATCCCTTGGGAACGGGAGTGTGGTGAGGACCAAAAGCAGAAGGGTGGCCTTCTGGATACAGACCTCAGCCACTGGCAGAAATAAGATAAGAACAGGCTTGGAATGAAAACACAAAATGCGTGTTCTCACAGTCAAATGAACTTTCTTCTGTGTTTGACCAAGAAATAATGTGACCTATGTTAGTGATGGTTTAAAAAGCCAAAAGAATTCAGTGATTGTTTTTACAGATGGATTTACTTAGGATGAAACATGTTCATTTAATCCCATTTGGATATGTTTTATCTTACACATATCTATCTGTAACACTACTTGCCCTTATTTCTGTGCATTAAAGGTAGTTTTTTAAAAAAAATCATTGTTTTCATTATTCATAGTAATTGAGATTGTTTGTTACTCTTTCTATTTTTACTTTGATCCTCAACCTATGGTCCCTCCAAAGCATTGCTATCTGATGAGAGTACTGTCATTTCTTACTTGTGTTGCTATATTGAATATGCTACATATCTACCCTCCTTCCTCTTCCCCCTAAGAATGTATTATATTAATACTGTGTTAATTTAAACCAGTAGAATTATAATACACAAACAAACTACAGATGTATTTTTAAGAACTGCTGTGGTCTTTTTCCTGTGTCACGATTTAACCCCGCAGCGCTCTGGTATAAGATGTTTGTGACATTAGTGCTTAAAGTCATGAAGTGGAAAAGTTTGAAATTCCCCCCAAAAAGTACTATTTGCATTGGTGGCAACTGGGGACTACCTTACCTCATTATATATTTGTGCTGATCCCCATTTATTTGTAAGAAATGTCATTTATACCTTCAGCTTCCATGAATGAATATGCTGTCTTCCTTTTCTCCAATTCACAGTGTTTCTGTGTCTTTATCAGTCAGTTCTTCCTTCCCTCATGTCTCAGAGGAAAAAACGCTCTTTATCTTTTATGAGGATATACATCTGTGCTTGATTCTGTACCCAATCTATTCTTCTGGGACTTTGAGCAGAGAGGTCAGACATGAGAATCAGTATTTACTGTTGCCATGTGTAAAGACCAACTCCCTTGATGCCTCCGTGTTTCTGCTCGGTGTACTGCCAGTATTCTCCCACTAATCATACATAGAAGCAGAGCCAGATGCAAATTTAGCATATGGTAACTATATGTGGGATTAACCACTACACACGAGAAAGGCAGGAAGTGAAACATGTTATTTAGTGAACTTCCAGTGCTCCGGCAGAACCTGGGCCACTTGGTCACATGAGTGAATGAATGAAGTACAACTGCAATAAGGTAGGAAAATGAAATAAAAGACATTTCGGTTAGAGAGGAAGAAATGGTATTGTTTCTATTCATAGACACCATGATTGTCCATGTAGACAATCACAAGAAATCTACAAAAAAGCTCTTAGAACAAATTGCCAAGATACAAGGATGTAATAATACAGGGTTGACATTGAAATACTCAAGTGTAAATCTGACATAAAAATATGTGCAGGATCTGTATGCTGAAAACTATAAAATACTGGTTAAAAAAATTAAAGAACTAATAAATGGAGAGACATACTGTGTTCGTGGATTAGAAGACTCAGTATAGTTAAAATGTCACTCCTCCCTAAAACAATCTATAGATTCAATACATTCCCGATTAAAATCTCAGGAGAGTTTTTTGAAGATACAGATAAGCTGATTCTAAACTATATACATATTCATGTATATGTAGATATGTATATAAATATACAGATATATGTATATTCTAAGCTATATACATATACATACACATACATATAGACATATATACATACATACGTGCATACATATATGTATACACACACATATATGTAGAAAGAGAGGGAGAGAGAGAGGAACTAGCATGGTTAAAACAATTTTGAAAGAGAAGAACAAAGTTGGAGGACTAACATGATCTGATTTTTAAGGCCTCCTTTTTAATCCTTTAAAGCCTCTGTAATCAAGGCAATTCAGTGTCTGGGAAAACAGATAATGAAACAGAATGGAGAGTTCAGAAATAGACCCACAAATATGGCCCAATGGTTTTTGACCAAGAACCAAAGGCAATTAAGTGAAGGAAAGTAAGTCTTTTCAGTAAAAGGTGCTGGGCACCTGCAGACCAAAACTGGACCTGTGCCTCACACCATATACAAAGATTACCTCAGAATGGATCAGACTAAAATGTGGAATATAAAATGCTTAAAACATAGGATATGACCCAGGTTTAGGTGGAGAGTTCTTTTTTTTAAATTTTATTTATTTGAGAGAGAGAGAGAGAGAACATGATCAGGGGGAGGGGGAGTGGGACAGGGAGAAGCAGACTCCCTGTGGAGCACAGAGCCTAGTGCAGAGGTCGATCTCAGGACCCTGAGATCATGACCTGAGCTGAAGTCAGATGCTTAACCGACTGAGCCACCCAGGTGTTCCTAGAGTTCTTAGGTACAACATGTAAAGCATGATGTATAAGAGGAAAAATGATAAATGACACTTCATCAAGTGTAAAATCTTATACTCTGTGAAGAACATTCTAAGGAAGCCAGTAGAAAACATTTGCACATCTCATCTGACAAAAGACTTAAATACAAAATATATAAAGAACTCTCAAAACTCAAAAATCAGAAACAACCCAAACAAAAAATAGCCAAAAGCATTTTTTTGAACACTCTACCAAAGATATGCAGATGAAAAGATGCTCAACATCGTTAGAGAAATTCACAACCACAATGAGATACCACCACATATTTAACAGAATGGCTAAATTACAAAGTCCATCGACAATCCTCTAGAAAAGATGCAGAGCACCATACACCACTGGTGAGGGTGGAAGGTGGTACAGCCATTCCAAAAAATAGTTGAGAAATTTCATGTGATGTTAAATGTATACTCACCATGTCACTCAGCAACCCTGCTGCCAGGTGATTGCCCTAGAGAAATGAAAGCTCACGCTCACACAAAAAACCTGTATATGAATATCATGAATATTTGTAGCAACTTTGCTTATAATCACCAAAACCTGACAACAACACAAATGTCCCTCATAGGGTAAAGGGATAAATAAACTTCCATACTGTGGAATACCGCTCAGTAATAAAAGACAACTGTGATAGGGGCCCCTGGGTGGCTCAGTCAGTTAAGTGTCCCACTCTGGTTACTGCTCAGGTCCTAATCTGAGGGTCATGAGATTAAGCCCCGCGTCGGGCTCTGCGCTCAGCGTGGAGCCTGCTTGGGCTTCTTTCTGTCTTTTTCTTCCTGCCCGTGTGCCCCTCACCCCACTTGGCGCTCTTTCCCTCTCTCTCCCTCTCTGTCTCAAATAAATAAATAAAATCTTATTAAAAAAAAAACAAAAACGTAATTCTTGCCACAACTTGGATGAATCTCTTGCATTGTGGAGTCCCTGCTGGTGAACCAGCTGACCGGAGGATAGGATGGTCCCCTTCTCCCTTTACAGGGTTGTCCAGGCTCCACTCCCCCCAGCTGCACCCCCTTCTCCCATGGAACCCCTGGCCTCCAGGTGTCAGGCTGCTGGAGTTCCCAGACAGCTCCTATGAAGTCAGCACTCCAGGTCCCAAAGGGTGGGATGCAAGACCAGTATGTTTGAGGAATAATAAGAAGGCTCGGTTGGGGCTCACCAAGAGAAAAAGTAGGCGATGAGACATGAGAGCCAGTGTTTCGATAATCTTCCTGTGTCATGATGAGCTATCAGGAAGTTTCTGTCCAGAGAGAGAGATGCTCTGAGCTGTGTTGCTCAGAGGATGGTGGTTGCTATATGGAGAGCTCCCTGTGGGGAAGAAGGAGTAGCATCAGGGAACCTGCTGGCATACTGTTCCCTTCGTTTGCCAGTGAGAGAAAACCGCAGCTGGGACTGGATGGCGAGACACTCTGATTTGGACAGTACCGTGAGGCCGGAGTTGGGTGGCTTTGCCGTGGATAGGCCGCGGGGTGTGAGGCGAAGGAGTTAGCGAATGGTGCCGGTGCTGTTGACTTGAACAACCGTAAAAAAGTTGTTACCAAGACGGTTTAACAAAGATCCTTTATGATTTAAGAGGAATACATTAGGGTGGGCTGCCCTTTCATTTTGTGCACCAAGACCAACGTCATGAGCCTATAAGGGAAACCAGTGCCAAGACAAGATGTGGTCGAGACGGTGCATCCCCTGCCAGCACCAGGAGTGCCTGGACCATGAATCTGGCACAGGGGATCCTGCCAGTTTAATGCAATGGCCTCTCCTCTCTCTGGCCCCCACGAACTGGGTACCACGTGGTAGTAGCCCCAGGAGCCCACATGTCACCTGTGGATCCTTGCCAGATACTCAGCCAACTTGGCCAGAAGCAGTTCTCTTAACTAAGCCCAGGTGGCACCACCTTGAATAATGTCTTCTTCTGAGGAGTCCATGGTACTGTATTCGTTTCCTGTGCCTGCTCTAACAAATTGCCACAAATTTATTGGCTTAAAAGTAGCACAGATTTATTCTCTTACAGTTTTTGGAGGTCAGGAGTCCAAAATAGGTTTCACGGGGCTCAAGCCCAGGTGTTGTCAGGGCCGCATTCCTTCCAGAATCTCTAGGGCAGAGTCTGTTTCTTACCTTTTCAGCTTTAAAGGCCACCTGCATTCCTTGGCTTGTGGCCCCTGAGGCAATCACATCCTTGTGACTTCTGCTTCTCTTGTCACACCTTCTCCAATTTCTTGCCTCTGTAAGGACCCTTGTGTTCTCATGGGGCCAACCTGGATAATCCCGGATAGCTGCCCATTTCAAGGTCCCTGACTTCATTGCATCTGCAATGTCCCCTTCACC